CCCCCGCCCCGGCCAAAGGCCTTATGCCTTCTTTGGCCTGAAAACTGTTGCGTGCCTGTCAGGATGTAAACTCTTTTGCCTGGCTGTTCCTATTCTATTTTGATTCTACACAAAATGTTTCATAAACCCTGTGCCTGAAGTTTTCCCTAGATAAAATGACTTTGGTTTCATTTATTTCATGACACTATTAAGCCACGTGGCAAGCGAGGATGTCTGGCTGTAATAATGATTGAACAAAATGAGTCCTTTTGGAAACGCTGCGGCTGCTGTAGGCATAGTTACTGATAAGAGCATTTGTTGTTCACATCAAAAACATTAAGGGTGGGCTTGTGGGTTTTAATTTTCTTTTTTTTATTGTCTGATATAAAGATCATGTTCCATCTGAGACACGTTATAACCAACATTTACCCATAATCAGTGATTTGTGACAAAGGGTTGAACTTCTCAGCCTGTCATTATGGGAAACATTTTCAGTTTTCTGGGGCTATTTCTGCCTGGCAATTTTCTTAATATTCTAGAGCCTTATTTTGTATGATCTGTCATAAATAGCTACAGTGATAACTCTTTCACCTTGGAAGTCTTTTTTCCCCCTGTGTTGTTCTGGCTTAATAGCAGATTCAGATCATGTTAACAACAAGACATTCTAACAGCTGCCTCTGTGTACTATGTACAGTGTTATTTGCCCAATTATGTTTGAGCCGTTGCATCTCTATATTTCTTATAAGCCTTGTGGAAAACTGGCACTATTACTTATTTAGCTGTTTAGTCTCACGGTTTTTTAAAACCGTATTTATGAAAATTTAAAATTCCTACTTCTTTCTCATCCTGATTTTACTTGTGTTACAGATCCGAGTAAATAGTTCCAAACTGGTACGAGTCACCCAGGTGGAGAATGAAGAGAAACTGAAGGAGTTAGAGCAGTTTAGTATCTGGAACTTTTTTTCCTCCTTTTTAAAAGAGAAATTGAATGACACCTATGTTAACGTGGGCCTATACAGCACAAAAACCTGCCTCAAAGTCGAGATTATAGAGGAAGACACCCAGTACAATATCATCGTGACCCGGAGTAAGTCTTAACCTCTTTTTTCTGGTGGATTCTATTGTGAAAAGGGACTGAGCTTTCGAGAGTGTAATTAGTGATACAGAGAAGTTAGCCCAAGAAAACTCCTTTCTGGTTCTGATTATAGCCAGAGTACACCACTGCTCCAAACAGTTAAGAGAGTTTCTCTCCCATGTTAGGCCTAGAATAGAGACTTCGCCTTGGGTCATTCTGAGTACCTCCTTACCTCGATTTGTGAAGACTTGTGTCCTGATACTTCCAGTGGCCCTGAGCTGATATGCCTAGTGTTCTTTAGGGTAAGACACATTTATTCCTGCCCTCTGGGCCCTTCTAGACAAAGTTAGATGTCCTGAATGTGTAGACCTACATTTGAAGACCTGAGCAGGTAAATAATAAAAACTGAAGAAAAGTAGAACTGAATATTAATACTTCACAAGTAAAAAAGATTTGTGGAACCATAAGTAACTATGAAAATCACTGCAGTTTAAGGCTTGATATTCAGTGGAACTGGGAGTTTTCCCTTTTCTGAATATGTTTGAGAAAGTTTCACAGAGGACTGGGATCGTTATCCTGTTGAATTTTCTGACTTTTGGTCTCTCCTTGGTTACTACCTAGGGTTCTGGGATGTTGTGAATAGCAGAAACATTCCTGGGTTTTGCTACAAAATATGTTGTGCCCTTCTAACTGTCCTATGGTTCCTCAGGTTTTTTTGGTTGTATAGAATTTGACTTTTTTTTTTTTTTTTTTTTGGTGCTCCTTTTACGTGTACTGATTCTTCTTGCTCCTGTTCTGTTTGTGGACCTCCCCTAAACTCAGGGCTCTTGAATGTGAATGCTGTGGGAGTGTCTGGTATGCCGCTGAGGGGCCTCTACTTGGGCCCCCTGTCCTGGGTGAGATGTGTTTGAGTGTAGGCTTTTCCAACACAGTGCTTGTGTAGCAGAAGGAAGTAGGTGGTGGTGTTGGGCAAGAAAAGCAGCCAGTTAGAGAACAACAGAGGGCCCAGACCCAAAGTTCTAGGCAAATCTGCTGAATCCGAACCTGTGAGTGACTTTCACGGGAAAGCCGGAGTGGTAGAGACCCCTTGTGGGCGATTGCATGAAGTGCTGATGGCATTATGCTTGGCTCCCATCCAAAGCAAAGCCTAGTTTCTTTTAGCCTTAGCATAGTAACCAAAATAAAAATAAGATCTCCAGAAAAGTACAGGTTAGACAGAGACCTTCTTATATTTTCTGTTTGGAAGGGTTCCTAGGCTTTGTGTGGAATTTACAATGCTGTTTAGGTAGGTTGTTTGCGTTTATAGGTGACCCTTGAACAGTACAGGGGTTGGGGTGCTGGCTGATTTACCCCTCCTCTCACTGGAAGATCTGCATATAACTTTTCTTTTTTTAAAGATTTTATTTATTTATTTGACAGAGAGAGACAGCGAGAGAGGGAACACAAGCACGGGGAGCAGGAGAGGGAGAAGCAGTCTTCCCGCAGAGCAGGGAGCCCGATGTGGGGCTTGATCCCAGGACATGGGATCATGTCCCGAGCCAAAGGCAGACACTTAACGACTGAGCCACCCAGGCGCCCCAGTCTGCATATAACTTTTGACTCCCCAAAACTTCATTATTAATAGCCTGCTGTTGACCGGAAGACTTACTGATAGCATAAACAGTCGATTAACACATATTTTGTATGTTATACATATTACGTGCTGTATTCTTACTATGAAGTAAGCTAGAGAAAAGAGAATGTTGCTAAAAAAACCATAGGAAGAGAAAATACATTTACAGTACTGTGATGTATTTGTCAGAAAAAGTCTGTGTATAAGTGGCCCATGCAAATTCAAACCCATGTTGTTCAAGGGTCAATTGTATTTTATTAGCTGACCAATAATGCCAACATTGTCTTTCATTCTATAATGCTTTATACTGTTTGTTTTCCCTATCAAACAGAAGTCTTTATTTGTTTCAGGATTTGACCCCAAACTCTTCTTCATTTTCCTCCTTGGACTTATGCTATTTTTTTGTGGAGATTTGTTGAGCAGGTAGGTTCCAAGGCTGGAGTGCAGAATGACAAGGCTTAGACCCACCCTGGTTGGCTTTTATCATAGAGAAAGTGCTGCCCTTCCCTTTTCCACGAGCTTTATGGCTAGGCCATTGCCTGCTTGGAAAAATTTTTTAAATACTTTAATACATGTTATAATTTTTGCTTTTTTCTTAAATTGAACAAGATTGGCAAGAATGAAATTCTCCTATTAAGTTGAGCCATCATGTGATGGGATTTAGCCAGTACATCACCACCCTTTCCACCATTCGAAATAACATGTTAAGTCCTCATTTTTACAGGGCCATGTGTTGGTGAATTTCATGCCATTCAGGGGTAAAGGAACAAACACCAACCACTTATTCATTTCCTGTTTTTAGGAACCTCCTAGCTAAGCTGGGTGAAACTGACATGTACAAATAAGAAAACATAGATAACTGAACAAACATTGAACAACGGTAGAATCAACCTTAACTCTGTACACAAGTAAAAAGAATATTTGTGGAATAATGAGTGAAAGCTACCCATTGGAGTTTGAAGTTGGGCTGGAGTGAAATTGGTAGAAGCTGTTCCTTATTTTGGGGATCCCGAGAGAAACTCACAGTGAGGGAGGAATGCCTGGCAGGAAGAGCGTGGAGCAGGAGCTCTTTATTCTGGGCTCTGCATCTGGTTTATCTTTCTGGGTAATCAGTTTAGTTCCAGTTTCCAGTGTCCACTCAGGCAGTATCCTTGCACCTTCCTTTTCCCCAGTGAAGCTGGGCAATTCCTCAGAAGGAAGATTGTCCTTAAAAACTGGGTTGGGATCGTGAAACTAAGCAGAGGTTTATTGCCGGCATATATTTGAGGGGCCTCACTGATACCAGTCCTCATAAGCCAGGAGCAATTACATTGTACCAGTCCCATCAGTGTTCAGACCTCAAGATTTAGACATAGACCTGCTCTAATCTGATACCTTTTTTCTGTCTTTCGGCTGCGATAGTTGTTCTTGTTCGAACAATGCCATGTATGAAGACTACACACATAGTCATGAAGTAACGTTTCTCTCTGCAGAAGCCAAATCTTCTACTATTCCACTGGGATGAGTGTGGGAATTGCGGCCTCTCTACTAATTGTCATTTTCATACTGTCCAAGTTTATGCCCAAGGTAAGTAGCAGAATCCTCATCTGCAGTCAGGAGGAGCTTGGATAGTTGAGGGACTGTTTTCTTGGATAATCTGACAGCACTGAAAATTTGCATTGGTGGCTGATAAGTCAATGTCCTTTTTCATTGACTTTTTCCTTGATTCAGAAAGGTACTTTCCATGATGACACTTGGAGCCTGATTACATACAAACTCCCCCTTTTTATTTAAAATCCTATGCACAGTGGGGAATGAAAGTCTCCTTCCTGCTTGCTGATTACATAGCCAGGCTTTTAAGTTATTTAGCACCTCATTTTCCCAGTGGTCTTTGTACACTATACCATTTTAAATATATAGGATGTCTTCTTAAGGGATGTGGTTTTGTGCATTTTTAGTAGGTTGAATTTTTTTAAAATCATAGTTCCATTTTGCTGCTTTTATGTATGGGAAGCCTGTTGTAACTTTTTGTTTTCACTTCTACTCTGTCTTAGAAAAGTCCCATTTACGTCATCCTGGTGGGAGGCTGGTCCTTTTCTCTGTACCTCATTCAGCTAGTTTTAAAAAATTTACAAGAGATCTGGAGGTGTTACTGGCAGTATCTTTTAAGTAAGTGTTGTCGGTTTTGCTTTCCTTTTTATATGTTTATAGGTTGCTTTGGTTCATTTGATCCTGAAAAGATGTTGCCTGCTTACAGTCCATGCCATTTTATTAATCTGTAAGAATCATAGTTCTTACTTTATTTCTAACCCTGTGCAGTTGTCACATTAAATGAAAACGGTGCTGCCAGGGAGAAGACTTTAATTGGTTGGTGTTTATAAGTACACTTCTCTTTACACAATAGGCATCTTGCTGAAAAGTTATAAATTGACTTTATTAAGATAATCCTATTTTAAATACACTTGAAGACCTTAAGAAGCAAAGGACTCTGCAGTGGATTTTTCTATAAAGTGAAGATCCTTTGGTTGTACAGTTGGTAATCCTTAATCTACCTTTTGAGAAGTGATTAATCTGGATTATCATATATTAGGCTTTTTTAAACCGACCATTCTAGCATTGTTCAACATGTAGCTTTAATCCTCCATTTGAACCAGATAAATTTGGAAACAACAAAGGGTAGAAACTTAAGGAGATAAATATATTTGAGTAATGAAAAAAGCGTGAATAACTGGGTAAAGATCTTATCCATTTTCCTAGTTCAATAGGTGCCATATAGTGAATGCACTGCTGCTCCCTGCACAAATTATTTTTACCAGTTACAGATGAAAAAGAATGTTTTCTGATAACTCTTCTCTTAGGCTATGTCTTCACAGTTGGATTCATGAGTTTTGCAGTCTGTTACAAGTACGGGCCTTTGGAGAATGAACGAAGTATCAACCTGCTGACCTGGACCTTGCAGCTGATGGGCCTATTTTTCATGTACTCCGGTATCCAGATACCACACATTGCCCTGGCCATTATCATCATTGCACTGTGTACTAAGAACCTGGAGTACCCTATTCATTGGCTGTACATCACCTACAGGTGACCGAAACGCAATATAACTTTGTATTGAAACACACCATTTGGGATGCAGTTGCGGCAAAGGGGTCCAGAGGCGTTGACCCGGGAGCCTCTTTGTTCATGGAAATTGATTGTATTATATAGCTTCTGCTTTTGTTCCTTCCAGGTCTTTCTTTTTAGACTCTCTAAAGGCATTTTTAGAATTTTATTCTAGTCATTTTATATAAAAGAAAAACATCCAGTAAAGTGTCATGTGTTCCTGTTACCACTAGGTGGTGCAAAGTATACCACTTTTATGCCACAGGCCTCCGGGTCACCTGGTTCCGGATTATTTCACATTGGTTCTCAGATTGTTCTGGGAGTTCTAGTCTTAAGATGTAGCTCACAGTGCGTTATCATCTTGTATAGGAACATGGAACGGTCATAGATTCTGAGGTTGTCAGTGGTGGTTCTATTATACATAGTCAAGGTGATGCCTTCAGTTTGGGGAATCTCAAGTTAATGGCCCACAATCTTATACCATCATTTTCTTGTCATTTTTCCACTTTCCAAATATTTTGTCTATCATTTATTGGAAAATAGGTGAATTTATTCACATTAGTGAATACTCTTGATTGTCATTCCTAGTCTAACACATCAGGAATATATTATAAGTAAAGATGTCTACAGAAGAAAGGTGGGGATGATGACTCTTAATGTCCAGGCTCTCTGCTGTATACTTGGCTCACTGAAGGAAGCTGGAGGGCAGGCTGGATAGAAATTACTGATTAATGATTCATGATGTTATTTTGGTGAGCACAGAAAGATGTGTAAGGCAACAGAAAAGACTGTCCCCCCTCGTCTCCTGACAGAAGAAGAATATCGGATACAAGGAGAAGTGGAGACCCGAAAGGCTTTAGAGGAGCTTCGAGAATATTGTAACAGTCCAGACTGCTCTGCTTGGAAGACTGTTTCTCGAATCCAGTCTCCAAAGAGGTAAACTCTTGGCCAGCTATGCCAGGCATCTCTCAGGGTATTGTGACCTTGAGTTCTAACAGAGATCATACTTCTAGATAAACATTTTGTATTCATGGCTTTGTTTTCCTGTTCATGTAGGAGTAGTTGAGAAAAAGATACATATATCATCATATGTTAAGCATATCCTCAAGGAACCATCTACTCTAGATTTGATTGTAGCATTGAGAGAAGACTCCAGTACCGTATTGTTTCCCGTGTGATAGTTTTACATTGCTCTCTGAGTGGTTTTTTTCTGTGGGGTTGGGGGAGTGTGTTCCCTTTTTATTTGGGAGCAACTGTACCAATGAGTATGTGAAGCTTCAATTTGGAATCCTGATGGCATAAAATTTATAGGGCCATAAACATGAATAAATGTGTAATGCTCCATAATCTTCTCTTATCAGGATTACAAATGACTAAAGGAACCTTAGCACTTTCCTCACTAAAAGGATAGGCTAGTGCTTATTAAGCAGGATAGGATTTCAGGGGATGTTGGCTTCTGACCCCAGCTTTCCTCTTTTCTTTATTTCTTGCTTTTAGTCTGCTTCCCTGCTGGAGTAAGGCAGACTCTATAAAATTTGAGCTGTGAGTGTATCGAGGGTTTCACTTTGTTCTTATTTTGGAAGGAGACCAGAAAGGACAGAAGGCAGGTTCTTAATGAGTATCATTTTCTCTTTTCCAGATTTGCTGACTTTGTGGAAGGTTCTTCTCACCTCACACCCAATGAGGTTTCTGTCCATGAGCAGGAATATGGATTAGGGAGCATCATTACCGAGGATGAAATCTATGAGGAAACATCCACTGAAGAGGAGGACTCAGATTCTCGGTATCCCGCTATCACACAACAAATCACCTCCTGACTTAGGTGGTAGTCAGTCATTTTTATGTGGACTGGCTTGGTACCTCAATGGTCCATGTTGCTTGTGTGCACCGTTGCTTCTCAACTCCTTGAAACAGGGTGAGATGGTGCAGAAATTCTCCGGCTGAAATTAGAGGCCTGAGTAGGCCTCCCTCTGGAAATGGTCTTGGTGGTCTCTGTGGGATCCCTGAGGGAGAATGGGTGAAGTCGTGAATGCTTTCAATGCTTCCCATGGGTTGTTGGCCCACCTGTGTTTCAAAAACAAAAAACTGGATGGCCACAGCTAGCGCGGTGTTCTAGCTCCTCTTAAAGATCGACTCGGTGGTGGTATTTCTGCCACCAAAGCTGGCACTCAGAAGTGAGAACTGTTACGTGTGCAGTAACTCTTTCGGACCCTAGGCTGCGTCTTCCAGAGAGAAATACGCAAATCTGAGCCTCCTTCACTTCTGCTTTTCTTTCAGTGACTTTAGAATAATCCTTGTTTTAGCTGTTTTAAGAGGAAAATAGATTTTTATTTCTGTCTTGTTTTTTAAACAAATATATTTTTTTAAATATAACAAATTCATGTTCCAGAACGAGCAAGTGCTCCAGATTGACAAGCCCATAGGTCCCTACATGTTTATTAATATGGATTATCCAGTAAAGCCCCAGAATTGTTGTGTTGGGCTTTGAATTAGTTCTCACACGTTTGTCTAAATCTTGCTTGCTTTTAGGAACATGCCTGTGAACCCTTCTATAGGGGAGGTCTGTCAGGCTTTTTATTATATCCAAGTTTTAATTCTATCTTAAGACATTTGCATTCTTCCCTTCCCATTCTTCCTTGCCCACTTTTGCCCTTTCAGGAAGTGTCTATTTCCTCAACTGTGAAGTATGTACAGTTTAGAGTTTGTTTCATTTCTTATATTCTCTTCCCCTTTGTTTGTAGCATTATTCCTGCAAGTAGGGAGAAGTGATCATTTTTTAGAGAATTTAAATGCTTTTTACATGCCCTCCATTTTTCCTGTCAGTGGGACACATATCTTTGAGTTGCTGTGGAATCAAGAACCTCTCTCCTTTTCCTTTCTCTTCCTTTGTCTACCCATTCTACGTGTTCTTTTCAGCCTCTCCTTACCACCTGTACTCCCCCCGCCCCCAAATCTGGCTACTTTGTAAGCCCTGAGACTATCTGGGTCGTTTCCTTGATGCAACATAAAACTGTAGCTTTGTAACGGCCACAGTCCACATTGCCACGAAATAGACCTCCAGGTTATCTTCATGCCTCTGGGTGTTCATTCACCTTTCAGGATCACAGTTTTCTGTGCATTTAGTACACTTATTTGCAGTTCCATTTCTGACTAGAGATTCATGCTGCCTTTTATTACAGTGGCATTAGTTCCAGATTCTTTTGCCATTGGAAAGTACCCTTATAAACCAGCAGTGTCATTTATGAGGGAGCAAATTCCCAAGTCTCTGTCATTTGCTTGGTTCTGTCTTGGTGATCTTCACCCCCGTACCTTGGAAGAGGCTATAATGACTCTAGCCAGGAATATAGGCCCTGACGGCCGGAGCACAGCATCAGGCTCACTGGTGTACTGTGATCATGGAGACGGCAGATGATTTTTTATAAAACTGTAATGACTCCTTCAGACCAGTCACTTAACAGATAATCTTGAAAGGCCCTGGGCTCATTGCCAACTTCCAAAATGTCAGCTCTGAGACTCCCCTCCAGGTGGCCAGTTGATTATTACCACCAGTGTTTTCCACAGCTTTAAACTGTCCAAAAGTGGCTACTGCCTCAGTTGGCAGCAAATACACATACAGTAGAAAGTGGAAACACAGTATTTGGTCAGATGCTATGGGTTAAAGTTGCAGGGCAAAGGAGCTTTATATTGGGAAACCTTTATGCCTTTGTAAATTATGTACGTGGTCAAATTTTATCCCTCTGCAGAGAACTGTAAAATAATTCATCTGTACAGGTGGTCTTAGGATTACCCGGGGACTTTGGTGCCTTCCCCCAGAAAGCTCGTTTGGGAGGTGGTGGCTTGCCTCCAGGTGACTTTCCCTGCCCTGCCTCTTATCTTTATCTCGGTGAGAAAGCACTGTGAAGCAGGGAGAGAGTCTCCTCTTTTTTTGTTTCGTTAAACTCCTTGTGAAATCTCGTTTCCACCTCCAGACCACTTTTTTTTTTTTTTTTACCGTGTTTGAACTTGGGGCAAGTAAGATCAAACTCCGTTTATTACTCCGTGTCTGTAGTGGGAGACCTGAGCTGTAGGCGGTGGAGGTGACCGTGGGTCCTGCAGCGTGACAGCTTCTCTGAGACCGGGAAGGACGAGGGTGCCTTTGGTGTGCTGTGTGTCCTTGCTCTGCTCCAGATGCTTCAGAGCCTCCAAGTGCCCACAGATCGCTTGACTCCATAAGCCTTCTTCGGGGGCTGCTCTTGTCTCCTTCTTGGCCACTTAGTCTGCTGGCTCAGTCACTACTTGAAGCCCCCACTTAATTTTCTCTGGCAGTTACCTCTTGCGATTCAGCATAGTCTCATCTCTCCGACTGATCTCATCAAAAAGGATTGAGGGGATAACCATGGAGTGAGCTGGACATCGGAGCCATGTCTGCTGCCATGTCAGCATCTTGCTCGCAAATATCAAGCTGTAAATTGGCCCTAGGGCGCAGGGTCTCTTCAGCATTGGAAATCTATCACCTCTAATTGGTCTGACCAAGTTATGTAGAGCATGACTGCCATTAATGGGAATATGAGAGCCAGCTGGCCTAAAACATTTCCCCTCCACTTTCCCACTCAGATTGCTTTCACGAGACCAATGGAACCAATCACCAAAAATAAGGACAGTTTAGCAACTTGGATGTCTTCTAATAAGAAAGTCCTATCAGCCACTTCATCCCACCAAAACTAGTTTATTTTCTCCTCCCAGGTCCAAGCCTTTTATGTCTGTTACAAAGGGGGAGGGATTGCTAATCATAGTCTTTGGGTCCCAGTGTTCTATTTTGTGCTGATACATCCCATTCAAGGCCTAGCCCTCTCTTCACTGACTGTGTTACTGTGTTCCCTTCAACCCAATTCCCACCTGGCATATACGTTAGAGATCTGATGAATGAAAGGACCCAAATAGGCCAGATAGTCCTCCCTGTCCCTGATATCCATAAAAAGCTTGGAAATGGATTATGCAATTGCCCTCAATCTTTTTGTTCCAGAAAAAAAGATGGGCTCAGATGGATGCCTGCATAAAAATGGTTCTTAGCTGTTTACTCATAACTTTTCTCTGAATTGAATAGTGAAAGTTGAAGTAGGAGGAAAGGAAATTAAATGTCCTTCTAGTATTCCTTTGGACTCAGGTCTGACATATGAGATAATAACCTATATTGAAATGCCAAGAACTTTATCTCAACCAAGGAGAGGACCGTTTGACAGATTTATTATGCCTTCATGTTACATAGGCACTGAAGCCGAGTAATAAACATATAAAATAGCCATTTGCACAAGGCAAATGCAAGTAAAACCTCTTGTTTATGTTTTGATGTAGCAGAAATTGATTATTATGTTTAGGGAAACCTATGCAGTTATGGTGATCCAGTGGTATCTCTTGGTAACTTAGCTCACGGACCTAGTTGCTGTTGAGTTGGATTCTAGATGGTTACTACCTTGAAAAGGTGTTTGGTGCCTTATGTGATGGGAGCCAGTGCCTGCTAGGAATAAACAAAGCAGATTCCTGTCCACATCAATACACATAAGCTTTAGTGGGGAATGGGAGTGGCACACACACAGCCTCCCCCAGATTTGGGACTTTTGTCTCCCCATCCCCTGCCAGTGTGTGTCATCTTCCTCTTCACACCCTTGACAGTAACTTGAAAATGGTGGCTCATCTTCTCTGAACTTTGCTGCAGATGGGCGGCCTTCGCATCACGTTAGTATACTAGAGAGCTCATAATGTGAGTATTAGAACTGTTGCAGCCTGCCATTGCCTCAGTTTCCCATGTTTGTGGAATTGATGGTGAAATAGCAGGGCTAAGGAATTCCTGGGTAAGTTTTAGCCTGTGGGTAATGCCTTAGTGTTGTTTTAAAAGATTTGTCATTTATATTTAAAATAAATGTTCACAAATGTTTGAAAGGAACAAAACGATCAGGGATGGCTCTTTGCCATGGGTCTCATTTTCGCTCTTTTCTGTAAGAAAAAATAACAGTGTCTTATTATATATTTTTTCATTTTTATTGTACAAGTTTGTAAGTAATCCCAATTTTAATAAAGTTTTATAGACTATATAGTGGTCTCTCTTAATGAACGTGTACTTTTCTTATTTGGATCTCTTGAGGCAATTAGCTTCTAAGTTTCATCTTTTTGATGAGATGGTGTTGCATGCCATCTATTTTCCTTTTTTTCTTAACCACCACTCCCCACCCTGGGTCTGCCTTGGTCTACTTCCATCCTTGGCCTGGATGATTTCCCAGCATGCCAGATCTCGAAGGGGTATTCTTGCAGGAGTCACAGGTTGTACGACCACGCTGTCTCACAGGGAAAAAACGTATAGGCTGTTCCTAGTCCAGGGAGCTACTCCGATTGTGCTTTAGTTCTTCTTTTTTTTTTTAATTTATTTTTATTAGACAGAGAGAGAAAGCATGAGCAGTGGGGAGGAGCAGAGGGAGAGGGAGAATCTCCAGCAGATTCTCCACTGAGTGCACAGCCCCACTCGGGGCTCAATCTCACAATCCTGAGATCATGACCTGCACCGAAACCAAGAGTCGGACACTCAACTGACTGAACAACCCAGGCGCCCCTACTTCTTCCTTTTCTTAAAAAATATCTTTTGTTTCTCCACTGGGGTGAGGGGAAGACCTGTGGATCCAGCTGTGGGGTGTCTGCCAAGAGCTTTGTGTAGGGAGAGAGGGGGCGGGGCTGTAGTGAGTATTAGGGGCCATGGAATAAAAACTTCAATTATGTGTAGGCCTGGCTTCTGTAGGAGGAGTCTGGTACCTTCCATTTTCTTTTATGTTTTAGCTATTTCCTTTGCTCTGGGGATCCGTTACAGCATTTGCATTAATTCTCTGCCTGTGTCCTCTCTTCTCAGTTATTTAGACTACATGGAAATCTATTGTCCATTTTTCAGACAGTCTGTGAAACAGGAAGAATCAGGAGGAGATCATATGTAAATTTATGTAGATGAATGCACACTAATGGCATCTTTTCTCCTCTCCCCTCTTTTTTTTTTTTTTTAAAGATTTTATTTATTTATTTGA